GTAAAAGAGACACATTTAATTTGACCATCGGGATTGCGGGTCTAGTTTGTTAGCTAAAATGGGCTTCTCTCTTCTAACCTATCCTAAGGCAAATGAATTGCAAAAAAGAACACACACCCCAGCTCGCCCGGCTCAGCTCCTACCCAGACAGGACAAGAGTCCCCCATAAACAAACACACACACACACACACACACAAACACACACAAGGTGGGACTGGAACTGACAGAGAGAAAGGTGGGGCGATCAGGAGAGGGCAACAGGCGTTGAACACCCCAACATCTCCTTCTCCATTTCAGGTCGTTTTTGTAGATTGTAGCTTGGGAATAGGCCCTTGTCTAAATCAGTGCATTTTAAAAGCCTCTTGGAATGTGGATTGGGTACAAGGGAGAAAGGAAGAGAAAGAGAACGGGGCACTTTCCCTTCCGAGCTTCAAAGCTCCGATTAAATAAAAAGCGATGCTCCGATTCCTTTAAACGTTCTTTCTTCCCCATACTCGGGAAAAGGATGCGGAGGAATTCATCCGCTAAAACGGCCAGTTCCTCGCCTGCTGCACTATCTCCATCAAAATCTAGGGCAGGGAGAACGTGGCAAAATGAAGGGCTGCGTCATTGGGGGGGTGGGGGGGTTGTGTCATAGGAATGAAATGTTATTCTTAATAAAGCAGGAAAGCTAGGCCTCAAATCTGTATCAGGACAATAAAACTGAGAATGGTTTTTTTTTCCCTGTGGTGAACGGCATATTCCCATCTAGTGTTAGATAGATGTGGCCCAAGTACCTCTGTACAAGGAGCCCGAACTATTTTAGGGATTAGATGACAAACAGCCTAATAAACGGGCAGTGAATTTATGCCGTTTAGTAAGGTGATAATCCCACTTGCTTCTCTCTTCTTGAGCTTTTTTTCTTTCCCTATGAAGTAAGTAAGTGTGGATTTTGATCTAAGTCGCCTTTATCATTCTGAATCCAGCTAACAACTGGAGACAGGAAGGGGGCTAAGACTAGATCCCCAGACAGAGATCCTGTTCTTTTCTTCTAAATGCCCACAAGACTGACAGCGGCTGTTGTCTAAAGCAGTTAGTTTCTACTCAGCAGAGGCAGGGACTTGAAGATAAAGGGAAACGGTGGAGGAGATGGACGGAGGGATGGGAGATCAGCGGCATAGCACTTGGCATCGGGGAGACAGGCACACACACGCAAGACTCCCGCAGCCGCCGCCACCCCCGCCTCCCCAGGAGGCAGCATGAGCATCAGCTCACCTTAAAGAAGCCTTTGCAGCCCTCGCAGGTGCGCACGCCGTAGTGCTGGCAGGCAGCGTTGTCTCCGCAGACGGCGCACAGCCCCTCGTTGGAGGGTGAGCCCCGCGAAGGCGGCGAAGGCACCTGGGCATCCAGGAGCTGGGAGGCATGCCCGATCTGCAGTCCGGGGAACCCGACGGCGGCGGCGGCACTGGCCTGCTTGCGGATAGGGTTGGGCAGAGCGAAAGGTTGCCCGTCGTGGTGGTGGTGGTGATGGTGGTGGTGGTGGTGGGCGCCAGGCCCGTGGCCCGAGGGCTCCCCATTGAGCGGTAGGGCATGCAGGGGCCCGTCAAAGCGCATCTGGCAGCTGCCCACCGGCATGCCGGGCGGCGATTGCTTGAAGGAGAAAAGCGAGAGACGTGGCACCGCCGTCGGGGCTGCCTTATGCACGCCGCCGCCGCCAGCCGCTCCTCCTGCCGCCCCACCGTAAGCTTGGTGGTGATGGTGGTGGTGGTGATGGAAGCCGTGCAGCGGCCCGGCCTCGTCCCAAACGCTCTGACCCGGCGCGAAACCAGCGGCCGGGGTGGGCGGCGAGGCGCAGGGCTTGTAGTAGACGGCCAGCTCATCAGGCGCCTGGGGCCCGCCGGCAGCGGGGGGCTGCGGCGGCGGCGGGTAGCCGTGGCCATGCAGGGGCAGCTCCTCGACCTTGATGGAGGGCGCCGGTGGCGGGGGTGGCGGGGGCTGCGACGGCATTTGGTAGAGGCAGGGCGGCTTGACGTCGTAACCCGCAGCGGCGGCGGCAGCGGCGCCGTAGTTGTCCATAAAGGTACTGAAGCTGGGGAGAGAAGTGGTGGCAGTGATTTCAGTGTTGGTCAGGTCCATGCTAAACTTGACAAACTCGGGCGTTAAGAAGTCCGAGCTGTATTCCCCGGCAGCCGCCGAGTGGTGGTACGAGTAGCTCTGCGTGGCCGGGCTGGCTCCTTGCGGCGAGGACCCGTACTGAGCCTGGACGCAGGGCATGGCTGCAAACGAAACACGGCACAACAAGAGCATGGCTCAGCTTTCCTGGGCAACAATCCCAATCCTCTCCCACCCACCCACCC